ATAACTGTCATTCAGGCACAGCTTATGAGGTTAAACAATTTAAATCTCAGCATGTTTTGTGTGATAATGATAAAGCAAGTTCTTATTGAACAGTAAAGTAGTTGAGTCGAGGGAAGTATGCTGTGACAGCTCCTCACAGAAATCTAATTGCTCAAAAAAAGTAGTTCGAGTCATTTGAGAATGCAGTTTGAGGGCAAATATGAAGTTTAAGGAACATCCATTTACAAGGCCAGCCAGCACAACAAAATTCCCAAGATTTCAACAGCTCTATTGTTTTTCTTTATTCAACAACAAAATTTTATGAAGAAGCTGGCTCTATGCCCTGATAGTAGTCCTTCATTGCAGGCACTGTTGAGTGCAGGAAAATGTGTCGTTGAATTATAAAAGAGGTTAGATGTACTATTATTGTCTTTGTCCTCTGATATAAACACGGTGGAAGTTGAAAAACACGAGAGAAGCAAGCTTAGAAACACAAGCATAGCAAGTGTTTCTTTTGCTTCTCGAGTGCTTTTCAACTACCATTGTATTTATCAGAGGACAGAGACACAAGCGGCTGTTTTATAGTTCCTTTACAGAATTTCTCTGCATTTTTCGAGCGAAAAACAACTTTTTGATATAAACATGGACATCAGCCAATCAGAGCGTGTGTTATATATAAAAAAATTATTATTTATTATATGCAGGTGATAACTACCCCCGGTGATCCCAATACTTTTCTGTCATGTGGTGAAGATGGTACTGTGCGTGTGTTTGATGTCAGAACGAAGTCCAAATGCAGCAAAAGGGATTGCAAAGAGGTTAGTATACTCATTACTTTAGGAACCAATCATTATAATTAGTGAAAGGTCACAAGGTTTTATAATACATTATATCATACTTACACTGTAAAATCTAATTTTAATTAGTCTTAAACATGAGCTGGATTGAACAAACTTAATCCATGAAGCTTAAATAGTAAATTATTTGTTTCCTTTTGTCTAATCAACACTATTTAGTAGAAATTGGTACTGTTTGTTTCACAGATTGAGTGCGTTCACTCTAGCACGTCTTAGCTGTTATCAGCAGTCTAATATCCTCTATAACCTATCAACCTGTTTAATAGCAATGCAGAAGATAAGTGTCTACAATTGAGCTTGTTAAGCAAGTGAGAAAACAAACACAGAAAACATCTACCAATTATTAACTCTTTACGCCCGAATTTCTATATTTATTTACTTATTTAGTGAAGTCAATGTCCGATTGTAAACTTTTCTGAACTCCCTTGATTATGAAGTTTGTCGAAAGCTCAGGTCTATAATAAAACTTTAAAGGTCTACTTGCACCCAAGAATCTTTGCGCGATTTGTTCACATCTGTAAATTCGCGGCCATCTTTGATTTTGATCCAATAAGAAAGCGCCTTTCATCAAGCGGTCATTTGTAAAACAAGAGTGACACGATCACGGAGGTTCTGGTATGCCCGTGAGACTTTAAGCTGTTTAAAAAACATTATTATATATCAATCTTAATATTTATATGTTACGTGTTGTAAGTACGGGCACACTTTACACCCTGCCCACTGGTGGAAGCTAATAAATAAATAAGTAATTGATTATAATAATGATTACCTGGGTTTATTTCAAGGATATACTAATAGAATGTGGAAAAGCGGTCACGTCTGTCAGCATCAACCCACTAGCACCTTATCAGCTGGGGATCGGCTGTGAAGACAGTACAGTTGCTTTGTTTGATAGACGCTCTCTAAGTACAGCTGGATCAAGCTCTGGATCTAGTGGAATGGCTGGATTGACTTATAAATTCAAACCAGAAGCCTTAAAAGACAGAACGTGTCGTGTGACGTCACTCCAGTATAGGTAGGTTCCTCTAAGTAATCTAAAGGCCGATTTAGACGGCACAAATTTTGCCTACCACCATCGGATGCAACCTGCGTAAGTCGTCCTTACAACATGGCTACAACTGTCGTAGGAATTNTCGGATGTAAAGAAACCTTTAATTTTGACGAAAGTTAAAATAATATTTCAGTGTATGTTAAGAGGTAATATAATTTTTATAGCTATTAGAGAGTTTTAGATTCACGTTTGCTGCAAACGCCAAACCTCAAATTGATTTTTATGCTTTGTCTCAAAAAGGAATAGTGATGCGGTTAGGCACGAAAAAGCGATCTATTTTATACACAATCGCGAAAGAACGGAGCGTTAATACAGAAAAGCAGTGATCACGTGATCAGTTTTGACGTTTGGCGTTCGCCGCAAACGCGTATCTAAAACTCTCTATTTTGTCATTTTTATGTTACAGATCGTGCGGACAAATGAACAAATGCTTGAAGAAAGTAGAGATACAATAACCGTCCCGGCATCCTTCATGCTACGAATGCTTGCTTCTTTGAACCACGCACGTCTTGGTTAGTAGTGAACTCACTTCGCTTCGCTTCTTCGCGCTTAGTTACGCAAAAGGCCGCGAAGTTAGTAGTGAACTAAGTGTCCACATAATCTTCCCAATCGGACAAAAACGCGCTTTTTTGGAATTCTATTTTTGTCAAGGGAATTAACACCAATGTACTAAATCAATGAGTCGATTAGGGCTATTAAATGTACACTGGCCTTTGAGGTTGTTTTTCCGACAAAAATGAATGAACATTAACTCCTATAGCTATAACTTAGTCGATACATGGCCACCAAATAAGAACTGTTAAATATACCTTAAAAAGCTAATAGACTGAGCCTGTTAAATTTCAATTAATAACAATTAGTTAAAAGGCTGTGTTCTATGTGATTTCAGGTCGAAAYCAAGATGACTCGGAGACAGACTCCAATGACTCTGACTAACGAATCTTATTTGTTATTATGGTTCGCCCAAATATCGAAGCTGGAAATTTAAGAATTTCAAGTGTATGAAGAATTTCTGGCAAAATATTCATCATTTTTGAAAGACTGAAATGAGTTTCAACGAGGAGCAAAAGGTGAATATAGCTAATTCAATGAACGTTGCCGTTAAGAAAGTTGAAACTTAACTTTCTGACCGTGAGGTATCATGGGATATGTATTGTTAGGCAATATACATCCCATGATACTTCGCGGTCAGGTGATTGAGCTTTAGACATTCTAAACGACAATGCTAGTTGAATTTGCTGTATAAATATGGGACGTGGAAAAAGTTGACTTTTTCAATATGTTCAACGAAGTACCACACTAAGGAACTACAACTGAAGAACTTCCATGTTTTTTTTGAAAGCTTCATTGTCAATAACACTTCTCATTTGGAGGGACTATATACTAATTTGTATGTTGATTGACAACTATGTATCGTGCACCGCTGGCTAAATTTTCGAAGGCTCGGGGCACGCTATCTGTGGTTGTAAAGTCGCAGTTTGCTATAAACAGTTAAAAAGTTGTTGTCTTTTCGGCTTTTAGTTGTGAGGTACAGCTGTATATGATGTCAGAAGTGCTAGAGGATGATTAAATATCGACAACTTTTTTATATATATATAGTTTATTTATCTTTTTATTCCTTGATGATTAATTCCCTCGCGCTCAAATTTTAATCCTGTGTACGAAATAAAACTTCAATCAGCACGTTTGGTTTGCAAATCGAAGAAAATCCAACACCAACAAACATGATACTCGGACTGCAAAACATTTCGAGTCGAGTCGAGTGAGAACGAGTGCCATGTTAGCATTCTTCTCGGAATCCGCTATACGTTGTGGGATTTCGAATTAAATGCTACAATATAATGGTTCCAGATTCCATCGTTTTATTGGAATCGGATTTCGTTGGCTCCGATCCAGGATTCTACATCTTGGATTCCAAAGCTTAGATTTTCACGGGGCGAGTTTTTGTATAACCCGGAAATTTTTCACGATTTCCCGTACTAAGCCATCTTTCTTTTATTTACAAGTTGTTTTACTGTATATTGGTCTTATATTACGAGTAAAGGTTATTCAAAGGGGCAGTGGTATTTTAAAACTTCGATAAAAGTTTGAAATTGAGAAATATAAAACGGCGCGCGTGTCTCTGTCCTCTGATATAAASACGGTGGGAGTTGAAAAACACGAGAGAAGCGCGGAYGTARCGAGTGTTTCTCTTGCTTCTCGAGTGCTTTTCAACTGCCACCGTTTCTATCAGAGTACGGAGACAAAAGCGGCCATTTTATAGTTCTTTTATAAAATTTTTCTGCGCTTTTCGAGCGAACGATAAATTTTACCGGAAAGTCGTGTCTCTGTCCTCTGATCACACGGTCGTCAGCCAGAGCGCGTGTTACATATAAAAATTTTATTTAAAAAATCATTATCTGATGGAAACTATGGAAACAGATTTCGACTTTATCAAAAATAGCGCGACCGCATTGATAGTGTGTTGACAACGACCCTGGCTGAACAAACGTCTATTGTTTGGCTGCCCAATAGACAGAACACAAATACGTAATACGTTTGGCATCTATATATTCATTTTAAGAACCTATTAGCTTTTTGCGACGGAAACGTGTTTAAGTGCCGAATCAACTATTTTCAAACGTCAATGACTTACGTCAAATGAACAGCCGGTTGAGCTACGCGTGGGCGATTGCACGTTTCCGTAGTTTTTCCTTGTCGCGTATAAACTTTGTAAACTGGCTTTCCCCTCACAAAGATATCACTTAGATGTTGTTTGTTTTATATTCTGGGCTTGCTTGCTAATTGCTTTTTTTGTATACAAAGATACAAGGGTACAAAGATGAGTGTTTCTGTGGAAACCACTGACTTTTCTTTGGGATATGTAAATCTGATGTACGTGACTAAATTGAGATAACCTGATTGGTCTATTAAATCATGCATTATTAATGAGTTTTTAAATATTTGTTTTTGCATGAGGTTGACTTGGATTAGGTTAAACTTCGAAAACTATTATTTTTTGATTTTTTTCACGCGAGATAAAAACTGTATTCGCTGAAAGTCAAAGAGAAGTAGACGTCAATCATGAATCTCGAGAATCATGTGCCATGTCGGGAACGCCATTTTGATTTATGCCATTTTATTTATATCACTTGGCTTGGCACTTAACCTTAATTGCAGTGAACACTTCTTTACAAATTTCAAACAATCAAAAATGATTTATTTCTAACGACTTCTTTTCATAACCATCCCACTAGTTTAATAGTGCTGCATTAAATAAGGGAAATAAAATATGCCTCAAGACCTTCGAGAGAAGTTATTATTCTTCTCCGCGTGTCAATCAATGCAAATAAGTTGGAAAAAATTTGCATAAAATTCAGTTCATGTGAGGTATTCGATGTGAAATGCGGTTTTAAGATATCAAACAAAATGCACAAGAATCTATATTCCACTTTCAAAATGCACATTTCTAAAATGCGAACTTGCARAATGTGTAACTTTCTAGTGACTGAAAGAATTTTGATATAGTCGATTGAGTACAACTCGCTTTTAAATGTTTTTACT